AACAACCCTGTGAGGTGGGTTGAGCTGAGAGACAGTGACTAGCCCAAAGTCACCTAGAATTTGATGATATAAAGTTGATGATACTAAAAAAAAAAAAAAAAATCAAAGCTAAAAAAATTCTGGTGTGCATTTGAATAAAATATTTATTTTCTTTTAGTTGGATGCATCAAACGCCAGGAGTTTATTAAATTCAGTTCTTCTATATAAGTCTTTTTTCCCTCACTAACGATTGGTGTTTTTTTTTTGTACCAGTGTATTTCTATCCAGTGCAGGATCCAGTATTTCATTAAAATCTCCTCTTATTACCACTTTATCATAAATACACTCATTCAAATGTCAAAAACATTCATAAAACATAATAGGAGAATCTAAATTAGGTCTAAATTAACCAAAACTATTACAGTCCCTTTTATTTTAGCACATAAAATTAAATACTGCCCATTTACATCAGTAATAATCTGTTGTACATCAATTAAAAGTCCTTTTTGAACTAAAATGACCACACTTTAGCTTTTATTGAAGTATTTGTGAAGTAAAACTGTCCCACCCAATCCTTCATGAATAAAGAGTTATCCTGTTCCATTAAACAAATCTCCTGTAAAAAAGCAATGTCTGCCCTTAACGATTTTAAATAGGCTAAGATTACATTTTCACAGCACTTTTTACATTAAGACCAACTCATTTCATCTATTATTTTTATTCTGGCCCACTTATCCATGGTCTCCCAGTACCAATTCATTTTATAACCTGTACCTTTTAACAAATGTTTAGTAATAAACTTTTCTATGTTTAAATATTTATCATATTTTCTAGTATTGCTCACAGACATAGAACCTCCATAAAAACTCAAATTAGCACTTAAATACCATTCTATTTCTCATGTGGTAAATATACTTAAAAAATAGAGAAAAATGTGATTATGTGCAAGAAAATAAAACAACAAACAAACAACATTATTAGAACCCTAAAAAAAAAATACATTCAGAAATACATAACTTCCCCAAAGCACTATCATTTTTTCTCTCTTCTTATAGATGAAATACAACAGTTTCAGACTCATTCAGACAAACATGTTGTATTTAGAGATAGACACTAAAGTTGGCAATATGCCCAGATTCTTTATCTTGAAGTTGACCATAACATGAGGACAGGAAAGAAGAAGAAGAAGAAGAAGAAGAAGAAGAAGAAGAAGAAGAAGAAGAAGAAGAAGAAGAAGAAGAAGAAGAAGAAGACTCTTTAAAGTGAGGCTTTTGCAAGGCATCCTTAGGCAAATTCAAACTTCTCCCACAACAGATTTCATAGAATGAGACATAATCAAGTTTGTCCATCAGCAGATTTCAAAGATAAAATAAAAGCCTCTGCATTCAGAGGATTATCAAATCTGTGAATCTGGACTTGATAATTAATGCAGAATGTAGCTGGAAAGCACATGAAATATTGAAGTTGTACTGATCTTGCAAAACTTCTTGCTTTTGTAAAAAGCCTTCTCTTTTCAGAGACTTCTTTAGTAAAATCAGGTTAAATTGATATTTTATTTTGGCTAGAACCCCACTTCAACAGAGACTTTACTGATTCCTGGCAAAACATATGTAAAATTTCATCTCTTGTAGTAACATGAAGGAATTGTACAATAATGATATTGGAGCTAGTTCCAGTCTTCCGTCTCATTAAAGGAATTTTAATAACATTTTAATCTCAACTGAAAAGTCTGCTCCCAAAGGGAGAAGCTTTCTGAAAAAATCCAGGTTTGATTGAGTCAGAGGGTTTTCAATGCCAATCACACATACATTTTTCCTGTGCAGTTGTGACTGTAAGTAAGTAATTTGTTTATCCAAAATATTATGACTAGCTTGAATAATAGCCTTGTGGGCAGTTAGCTAATCTTCATAGCAAACCAATTTGTCTTGCATCTACTTTATATCATTTTTAAGCTCTGCCAAATCATGTTGAATCTGCTTCAAACCTTGTATCTGAGTCAGGATCTCTTTTAGCAAATTAATGGAAGATTCCTCCTCCACCATTTTGCCTGGCTTGGCAGTTAGTGATGCAGTTGGAATTAAGCTACCTGTTGATCATTTGGGTCTAGTTGCCATCCCAATAGCTCATTAAAAACAAGATAATATATAATGAAAAGTTTTATTTACCCAGTGAGCAAAGTCTTTGTCCACAGAATCCAATAATTCAGAAGTTTGAAAATACTTTAATCAGGAGAGAGGCGAGAGACATGTACTCACAGCGCCATCATAAAGTGGAAGCTTCTGTTTGTTGGGAAATGGACACAATGGCTCATGAGTTGCATCGAAGCGATGTTTTATGAGGATTATACTAATTTACATAATACTATATTTATCCCAAAGGAAGATGACACTGAGTTTAAGATGATCCTCTCTCCAAAAGGACAAAAACAAAAAACTTGTCAGCCTTTATTACTTTATCTTCAGCCAAACTAAGGCAACCCTTCCATTTTTAAGGTGTGAAAAATGGCTTTCTTTGAGGAACTTATAGTAACGTTGTTAGCAAGTTTGGGATATTTCTTTTAGCAAAATTTGGATTTTTAATGATTTTGGAGTATTAGTGATAGTTTACACTATTTATACTTGTGTATGCAGACCTGTGGGCTGTGCTTCTTTCTGGAGGCTGTGCTGGTGTTCTGGCCTGGGGCACAGCAACCCCAATGGATGTCATTAAAGCCCGGATGCAAGCAGATGGTGATGGACAGCGTAAATATACTGGACTAATACACTGTGCCAGAGACAGCATAAGGGAAGAAGGAATAAGAGTTCTTTTCAAAGGCCTTGGACTAAACTCACTTCGTGCATTTCCTACAAACATGATGATATTCTTAACTTATGAAGCTGTTCTTAGGTTTGGGGAGCATTTGCGGAAGTGAAAATTTTATTTCAGCCTCATTCTGTAAGTGTTTGCTTATTTTTTGAAGTCAATTTATTTAAATACTTCGTCTTCAGACAACTCTTGTGATGATAAATTAGCTTTGCGTTTGCAAATTTCAGAATTGGATATATGCATTAAAGCTTTATCATGCTCTCAAAAACTTTTTTTCGTTGTGTTTGTGCAGCCTGAGGGAATGCTTTTGTTTGTTTTTATGAACCATAGTTACAAATAACTATGGTTAGGATGTGGTTCATGTTGCTAGAATGTGTTACATTTAACACAGAAACAAAAGCTGATGATCTTCTTTTAGGAGCTGAAGATCTGCTGTAGCTCATTCTTTTAATCGAAACAGGGTCAGTACTGTATATCAAATCTTGGATGGATTTTCTTTTATTGACTAAACATGTTTTTTTTTTAATTGACTTCTTTAAGATTAAAGACACTTAAAATAACATTTTAATTGTAGTCTATGATATCTCACCTAAGCTTAAAAGATCATTTGGAAAGAAAGGGCTTTGCCACATTTAAACAATGACTGAGTTGCTAACTTCATGAATTATGAGAGACTGTCAACTAGTCTCCATGTCAAAGGAACTGTTTCTGAATCCAGATAACAGGCCAGTGGATAAACACATTCCTAGGACTTTGAAAATTGGGATTTTTTTATTTTTTAAAAAAGGCTTGCACATGTTTATTGTTGTGTTGTTATGTGTTGCATCTGTCTTGATTGTGTATCAGTCAAGGGATACAGCCACCCTTAGGTTATTGTTTGCAATAATTTGGAACACATGGGTCACCCCAATCATTTGTCTCCTCCCTGGGTTTAGATTCAGCAGTGGAGGGAATTTAAATACCCAGGAAAGGAAACTCCTGTATGTTAGATGCTCACCCATTATAAACTCCTGGACTGAAATTACTTGGGATCACTCCAACTCAGGCACACAGTTTCTATTGAGTGGGACCTGGGATATGGACCTATTGGCAAATGTAAAAAGTCTGATCATGAAAAAAACAAAGTGGGCTCAAAACTATGAAGTGACTTCATGGCATGGGAAATAGAAGCTGCTAAATACTAGCAGGAGTGCATTGACAGGTTCCAATAGGAAATAAACAAAACAAAATAAGAGCTTGTAAAAACAGCATTTAACTGTTTTTACTGATTACAATTGATTAGCACAAGGTTCAAAGGTGCAAACTGGAAGAAAGAAGACCTGCTGTTTTATGGATCATCTGCAAACTATGATTCAGCAGGACTCTAGCCTCTCTGATAGGAATCAGTTTGGTCCTATAGTTGTGACTATCTTTATAGAAGGATTCCCACCCTTGATTGGCAAAAGAATGTTGTTGAAATAATAACTGTTGCCAGTCAATCCCAAAGACATCTAACGAGGAAAAAGGGAAAATGAGGAACCCAACTGTGAGAACTCCAAGTTAATTGTGTAGGATTTTTAAAGGAGAATGCTCTTTTTTCTCTTTTCCTAAAAAGCTTAGTTTATATTTGTTTTATTCCCCTTTTGCCTGAACTTCTGACCTTTTCCTGACCACAACAATATCTAGAGCAGGGTCCTTCAAACTTTTTCAGGCCATAGGACCTGTTAGTTAAAAAAAAAAAAAAATTCCCAGAACCTCTAATGAAGAGGCAAAGCTCTAGTGAGAGAAAATTGGCTGTGTTTGAGTGAGCTTTTTTTGTTTTTTTAACCTTTAGTCTCTCATATAATCTCAAGAAGTTCAACATTTTCATGTTGAAAAGCCCTGTCCTAGAGCAGCATTTCTCAACCTTGGCAACTTTAAGATGTGTGGTTGGGAAATTCTGGTAGTTGAAGTCCACACTTCTTAAAGTTGCCAAGGTTGAGAAATGCTGCCTTAGGGCACTCTGTACCTATCACCACTCTACCTATTAGCATCTGCTGTTCCTGAAGGAGGAAGCATTGTAACCCTGTCAAGCTCCTTTTGTATTCTGCTTTGGAGATGTACCCACGGATTGCTCCTTTTGCTGTCTGCTTGGCTCACTCCTTTTGTGATTCAACTACATCTGTCTGTCCAAGAAATGTATATAAATCACCTTTGGACCTTATGCTACAGAAAGAGAAGAGAGAAGCTCTGTTTTACTTCCTCATAAGTAAATAAACTGCCTTCACACACAGCTGTTCATCCAGTGCTTTAAACCATTTGTTTTCTCTTAACAGTAGACAAAATTAGGAATCATATTAGCATATCGTTTTCTTGAGCATTTCCTGTGCCCTTGCAGGATCCACCTTTGACACCTGTTCTGCACCCCTGTAAAAAGTACTATGTGGCTAAGAGTTGGCCATTTTTACTTTCCACATTGTTCTGAAGCTATGCTATGTCAGGAACATTGTGGGAAATCATTGAAGTCCACCCCCACTTCCCATTCAGTTCTGAATTGCCCATTGTAACAATTTTAGTGAAAGCCAGCCCCCCAAAAGAAACTTTGGCAAGAGATCCCTTATACCTAGAGTTGGCCTTGCCCAAAGTAGTTAAATTAAGGGATGAGAAATGAGGTGAGCAGAAAGGCAAATGTTGACACGTCCAGTGTTCTGATTTGAGAATGAGGAACTCTCAGAATGGCCACATCTAGTGCTATGTTTTGTTGAGCTATTTTTCTAAAAGGCACATCTTTTTCTGCTATTTGTAACAACCCTCTCCTACATAGCTACCATTTAAACCTTACACACTTAAAATCTGTATTTACTACATGCATTTCCCTTTTAGATCCTTTATTCAAACACATATGAACATGAATTCAAATCAAACAAATAGAACATGAACAAGCAACTTGCTTATTAAAACTGAATACAGAAAATCTGCAAGTGATATAGACAGGCATTACAGTCAATCAGTTTGCACCTCCAAATTTCTGAACTGTAAGAATTTGCACTGATTTTGATCTACTCATTGTTAATAAAACAACAGAGATGTCTTGAGAAATAGGAAAATCACAAGGCCATCAGCCAAAACAAAATCTACTCAATTTAATTTTCTGTATGCAGTACAGATTCTGGCGATAATCTGCAACATGTTGAATAAAAAGGTTCATGCTTTTCAGTTTACAAGGATCTCTTACAAGAATCACTTTGAAACACTTAACTGGGTTCCCATGTATGCCATAACTACCTTATTCAATTCAAGACGCTGTTTTATAAGCTACAAAATTTATTGTAATTCTTCCAAATATTTAAGGAATTTGGCATTATGGATCACAGCATCACAGCATATTGAGGCCACCAGGTTAAATAGCATGCAAACTTGCTATGTATAACAACTTGCCATGTAAGCAACTGACTATAAACTGAGAAGTGGCACACTAGCAAATTTAAAGCACTTTCCAATTGCTTTGATTTACTTGCATGTATACGTGTGTGTGTGTGTGTGTATTAAGATACAGATTTATGTGCAATTGGTATTCATGGTGAAAGTCTCTTGCTCCATAAGATCTTCCAGTTTTATTGCGCATCATTAAGGAATTCTCTTTAGACCAGTACTACTAAGCTGTTCCTCAAAATCACTCAGTATGGTTACTTTCTCTGTCATTTTTAAATGGAACTTTTAATAATTGTACTATTGAAGAAAAAGCAAAAAAGAAACATACACATGCACACAAATGTATACTGGACACATTCTTTCTATATATATATAT